TGGAAATTTGAGAGAGTGGAAATTTGAGAAATTGGGAATTTGGAGATTTGGGAAATTGAGGATTTCGGAATTTAGGAATTTGAGGATTTGAGAGACTAGGAATTTGGAGATTTAGGAATGTGAGGATTTGAGTAATTCGAAATTTAGGAACATAAGAATTTGGGGATTTGGGAAACGTAGAACTCGAAAATTCAGGTCTTGAGAAACACGAAATTTGAAGGTACGGATTTTGACAATTTGGGGTCATAGAAATGTAAGAACGTATGCATTTGGACATTTCATTATTTAAATACTTAGAGACTTAAAAATGTGATGAGTTAGGAATTCAAGGATTTTAATATTAGGTATGCATGCACTGTAATCTACGATAGATGAAGGTATACAACAATTTACTAATCCATGAGTCTAAGAATCTAGGCATCAGAACCTACAAAAATTTGATAATTAATAAACCAAAAAATTTGAGAAGCTATTTACAAATGTAAGAAATAAAGAACTCTGAAATTTAACTTGAAAATCAAAGATTTACAAGATATCAGAAATTCCTAAATGAACACGTGATGTTTCTATTGAATTTGTACGTCCATTAACGGTATAAAACATGCGGTTTCGTATAACACAACCGACTGAGCAGCTACTGTTACACGCAAGCAATGTCGCAAGCTAATAGCTCGATTACAGTTTATAATTACCACGCGCCACGTTATTGTTCTGCTCCACAGGAGTGCTTTTGCCACACGCGACCATACTGAACCGTTTGCGATGGCAATGGAGAGAGCTGCCTTACGGATCCGACGAGCAGCGTTGCGTCTTCAAGACGTCTTTGACTTTTGTCGACAGTGTGTCCGAAATTTGGGGACCCTTGTTACAGGGACGTACCTTGATGGTCGTTGCTAAACACGTCACGAGGGACCCGGAGAAATTTGTGCAATTATTGGAGAAACACGAGGTGAGGTGCTAAATAACTGTTCAAATTTTTTGGGAATAAAATATGATTTGGTTTAGATAGTTTGTTTTGTAAGAAGTTAGTTTATGTTTCATATGAATATTTTATTGCAGATTCAACGATTGGTGCTGGTACCGTCTTTGTTGCAATCGATGCTGATGTACCTGAGTCTACGTGTAAGTATCGATTGCTGCAGTATAACAATGTATCCTGTAAATTTATTTTGAATGGTAACATTTACAGATTTTAAATTCGACTTGATATATTTGTTGCAAAACGTCAATCATTGAGTGAAACTCTTTTCAGTTATACTCCACTAAATCTTGCTAGTTCTACATTTTACCTATTGAAATTCTATCGTAAATTGGGCTATCATAAATTTCTAATTAATTGTTATCAAATACTAGCTTGAACTGAATATCAAAATTTTGAGTCAGCCATCTTGAATTACAGAAACACCAACAGTAATTGTATAAAATGCAAGGTGTTTCAGAAATGTTCCACGCAACACAAAAATCACATACTTCATATTATAAAAAAGAAAAACAAGAACCAATCTCCATTTTGTTATCAAAAGCTCCATTTTCATTTACCTATCAAAGTTCCATTTAAACATTGCTCCTCAACTTCCGCTGCATCCGCGATTCAAACATGGCGCTCAGAAGTTGCTCAAACACATAATCGCTCAAATTTTACAAAGGAAGTGTTACAAAAATGCTACAGAACTTCTCGATCAGTTTCGCAACAAAAAATCTATAATACAACTGCAATAGTGAACGCATGTTGTTAAAAAAGGTTAGATAAATCTAATCGTCAATCCAGATCTCTAAGTACGTATATTGTTACATTCAGAACAAGGACAACATACTCCGTTCACTCAGACTTTGGGTATGTTCCGGTGAAACGTTGCCAGTCTCGTTGGCGGACGAATTTTTCACCACATTTGCAAACGACGATAATAAAATTCTGGCGAACTTTTACGGGAGCACGGAAATCATGGGAGACGTCACCTATCATCTTATAAACGACCCTAACCAGCTGCAATCCGTCGACAAAGTGCCCATTGGTAAAGGAAACTTTTTCAAGTGGTTTTATATGGCTTTTATTCGTGTTAGGAATTTTGTTGTGGTAATTTGGGGGTTTGGGGTTTGGGGAGTTGGGGGTTTGGGGATTTGGGGATTTGGGGATTTGGGAATTTGGGAATTTGGAGATTTGGGGATTTGAGAAATTGGGAATTTCGAGATTATGGGGATTTGGGAATTTGGGGATTTCAGAAATTGGGAATTTCGAGATTTGGGAAATTGAGGATTTGGGGATTTGAGAGATTGGGAATTTAGAGATTTGGGGATTTGAGAAATTGGGAATTTGGAGATTTGGGGATTTGAGGATTTCGGAATTTAGGAATTTGAGGATTTGAGAGACTAGGAATTTGGAGATTTAGGAATGTGAGGATTTGAGTAATTCGAAATTGAGAAATTGGAAATTTGAGAAATTGGGAATTTCGAGATTTGGGAAACTGAGGATTTGGGGATTTGAGAGATTGGGAATTTGGAGATTTGGGAATTTGAGAAATTGGGAATTTGGAGATTTGGGGATTTGAGAAATTGGGAATTTCGAGATTATGGGAATTTGGAAATTTCGAGATTTCGAGATTTGAAGATTTGAGGATTTGGAGATTTGGAGATTTGGAGATTTGAGGATTTAGGAATTTGGAAATTTAGGGATTTGGGGATTTGGGGATTTGGGGATTTGGAGATTTAGGTATTTAGGCATTTGGGAATTCGAGAAGTGGGGAATTTAGAGATTCAGGGATTTGAGAATTTAAGGACTTAGATACTTCGGAATATATGCATTTGGAAATTTGAGGATTTGGAGATTTATCTATTTAAACATTTAGGAATTCGAGAAGTGGGGAATTTAGAGATTCAGAGACTTGAGAATTTGGGGACTTAGATACTTAGGAACATATGCATTTGGAAATTTGAAGATTTAAAGATCCAAAAGTATAAGAACTTAAAGGGTTAGAAACTGAAGAGTTTAAAGATCTGAGAAGTTGAAGCTCTGAAAATTCATAAATTTGAATATTGAAAATTCTCACAGGAAAACCGCTGGACAACTGCATAATCTACATCGTGAACAAAGAAATGCGCCTGGTTCCGCAAGGGGAAGTTGGCGAATTAATAGTGGCAGGAAGGAACCTCGCTGCAGGATACATTCGAGACAATGATTCCCACAAGTTTCAAGATAACCCGCACGCTATCGATCCAGGTACATTCTTTGTCGTTAACAATTCTTTCAACGTCACAATTATCACAATTTATTTATCATTACTCATCGCATAATTAGACAAATAGTTGCACTAAACAAAAAACGATAAAAGGATCGACAACGTCTGTTATAAATCATTGAGCATTGTGTAACACACGGATCTCGTTCTTTTTTAAAACATTTCATTAATATAATCTATAGTTGTATACGCTTATACGTTTAGCTTGAATAATACCTCTCTAACGAGTTGAAAGTCTGCGTCCAATCATTTAGACAAAGACAGATATCCGGTTTTCAATTTATCTGCTATCTGTTTTATTTTTAATTTTCGATAAATTAGAGTGGAAACGAAGGTGTTTGAAAAATTGTAGCTGTATGAATAATGGAAATATTCCAAGGTTCCATTGTACAAGTTCTACACTTGCACATATTTCATACTTTCATTAATATAAACATTTTCGTTAATATAAACATTATCATTAATATAAACATTTTCACTAATACAAACATTTTCATTAATATAAACTTTTTCGTTAATATAAACATTTTCGTTAATATAAACATTTTCATTAATACAAACATTTTCATTAATACAAACATTTTCCTTAATATAAATATTTCCACTTCATTATTCAAATACTTGCAGAGTACTCGAGGATATATTGCACCGGGGACTACGCCAAGATATCAAAAGGGACAGTGATATACGAAGGCCGAATGGATTCGCAGATCAAAGTCAGAGGCCACCGCGTGGACCTCACGGAAGTTGAGAACGCTGTGTCCAAAGTTCCAGGAGTCGACAAAGTGGTGGTTCTCTGTTACAAACCCGGAGAACTGTCGCAGACACTGATCGCTTTCGTAACCGTCACCGGGTGCACGTGCGACCAGAAAATCGAGGAGATCCTCCAAACTACCTTGCCACCCTACATGCTTCCGCGAATCATCGTAATGGATAATATACCGCTTTTAACGAACGGGAAGACCGATCGGCAGGCTTTGCTGAAGCACTACGAGTCTACCAGCCTTAATAACGGTACGGTATGAACATTTTATCGATTAAGGTGTGATGCGATGCAGGTAATCGCGAGTGAAATTTTGAAACTTTGGAATTTTAGAGGAATTTTAGAGATTAATGGAAGACGCGTTTATCAGGTATTTATTTCTGTTTACAGAAAATGAGCAATTCATGAACTGCGATTATACGGGTGTGCGCGAGGAGGACCTGGCAAAAGCGAGAGTCCTGTTTCCGACGGTGGCGTCTGTAATAGGAGGAGGTCGTTCAAATGTCACGCCCGATGCAAATTTCTACGAGCTAGGCGGCAACTCGTTGAACTCCATTTACACGGTGACAAAGCTGAGGGATCAGGGCTACGAGATAGGCATTACGGAATTCATCACGGCGAAGAATCTGGCCGAGGTACTCAGCCGGATGAGGATCAGCACGGACGACGTTCCTCTAGAGAATAACATCAACGAAGACGAGCATATTTTTGAAATGCTCAACGACTCTCATAAAAACGATGCGATAGAGTACGTACAATATTTCTTAAAAAGCACCTTGTTGTTCGTATACCATCAAAAATAAATTCCATTGCAAATTTACAAGGAGATACTACGAACAAGATGATTCAATTTTGCAGAATTATTACGGAAAGCTTCTACAGCAAAGCGGATTTAGAGCAGTGGCTGATGCCGGGTATAACAAAAGACGACTACCGGGTAATGATGGAGATCATGTGGGAGCCTCTTGTGGAGAAGAATTTGAGTTTCGTAGTGAAATCGGCTCGAGACGGCAGAACGATCGGTGTAGGCTTGAATTTCGATCTGTGGGACGAGCCTGAGCTGATACTCGACTCGAAGTTGATGATTGTCTTCGAGTTTCTCGAATACTTGGAAGCGCCGATCAGGGAACGAAAATTACCTAAAGGAAAGGGTCAAATTATTCATAATTTCATGATGACGACGAGCGGTGATCTGAATCCTGCAGAGAACGTGATCATGATGAAAGTCATGGAGGAGTACTGCTTGAAATTGGCGCAGAGGAAGGAGTACGCTGGAATCTTCACCACGAACACCAGCCCGCTTACGCAGGTAGGTAGTATACATCGTTAAATATTTTTTTGGTCGAATATCAAAACAATTAATTTTGCAATTCAAGTGAAAAATTATTTTTCATATTACAACCTCGTGAAAGAACGAGCTGAGTCATTTAAAAACTATGTAGACTAATAGTGCACTATGTAAATTAATAGTGTACTATACAGACTAATAGTTTTCATATTATTAGCGTTACTGAACATTTTCTAACTTTCTAATATCTTACGATACCATACGACACGAAATAACGAGTCGAAAGTTGCGAGTAATCTAATTTGAAATTCCCGCCAAAACTATACGATGACTCCACGATGATCGCGAACACTGGTATCAGATAAAATTCAGTGGCTGGAAGATTTACGATTTCCACTGTAACGTCATACGAATTCCAGCGGTCAACTGACCACTACGGCGTCATTCGTGCAAATATCTGGTTACACATTTTATATACCTACACAGCAACGTCTTCTACTTTACAAATTGTTATCTCCTTTCCGTCAAATGTTATCTCTTCACCATAGTATTAATAAATAAAGGAAAATTTCATTTAATTTGCATTGTGTTTACAGCAACTAGGTACAGACGTGTTTGGGTATGAAACGATGCTTACTTACCAAGTGAACAAATACAATGCTCCAGACGGCACGAAGCCCTTTGGAGAAGCACCGGACAGTCAACTGGCAATTTGCTCGTTGAAAATGATCGCTTAACGTTGCCTAAAAGGAAACGGAAATATTAGCGTGATACGAGCGGTGGCGACAATAAAATTGATGTAAATTTAAGATAATATAGGAAGTCGAGTATTAATTTATTGTAATCGTATAATTTCGTTTGGTGCTCACACGAAATAATCAATTTATGTTTCGTGTTCGGAAAAAATCTTATGGAGATCTCAGACAATCAAAAATACACATACTGTCAATATTTTAGAATTCTCGGTATTTATTGATGATACTGAAACACTGACAATATTGTGTTGAATATACAATGATTATCTGAACCCTCCATTATTTTCATTACTTCTTTTATATGCGCCACTTTGTTAACGTAATGACGCATATCGAAGAAACTACGAAAAATTGTAAATATTTTTGTACATAGAGATAGTACACATGTGATAATGTTGATGTAGGCGAATATACTTTACCCAAAATTGTTATACAATGAAAATTAAAATTAGTCAATTGTAATACAAATGTAATAAAAACCTTAAATAATTTAATAAAATGCATTCTTGTATCTTTTAGCGTCCTTTCCATGTTCCTTTTCAAAGTACTATGATGGTTCGTCGTTCCTCTACCAGAGGTAGCACTTGACTGTTCACATTTGACATAACTGGACATAACCTAAAGAAATGTCAAATTTGAATCACTTATTCTAACACATGCATAAACCGCTTTAATAATTTAAATCCAAACACGATAATGTACTGTTACGTACAGTACTTCAATGGAAAACGAATATCGATGAAGTGTTGGGATATTTTAATTTGATTCGATAATTTTATGGGATACGATTTTGAAATGGCACCTCTCACGGATTTACTCTCTTGTAGCATAATTGAAAAAGATTCTAACGGTGATATATTATGGACGTGGTCTTACCCACGAGTTGCAGAATCGCAAAAAGTTGTTGTTGCAAGAAAATGTAATTTAGAACTGGAACACAATTCTCCTCAAGTGTTTGTGTTTGCGAGGCATAAACACAGTTGGTTTTACATACACTGCAGTGAGGTGTTTGATTCGGATAAATTACCAAAAGTAAGTTATACTGACTCAAAATGTACGTATTACTTGAATAATTCAAATTATATTGTAACAGGTAAAGCAGTTTGCATTAGTTCTGTTTGCTAAAGATTTCAATCCACGAAAATACGAAGTACTCTCAAGAGTCCTTAGCAAAATGTATTGCAAAACTGGAAAACCAACAGAGATTCTACAGTTATACCTATCTGTATTTACTAAAGGATCGTGTTCTACTCAAGAAAATGGAACATTTGTTTCTGATGATTTTAATAGCCATCGTTTTATAATGAACACTAATATCAGAGAAATGATTAAAACTTTTGAATTGGAAACTATTTTAATATACACGGCTCTTCTTTTAAAAAAGCGTATAATAGTTTATCATCATAGCTTAGAACAACTTCTGAAGTGGATAGGAATATTTCCTGAACTGATGAAACATCGTAAAGTGACTGATAATTTGTTTCCTTGGGTCGATTTGACTGATGATGAACTTGCAGAATTAAAGGTATATTAATCTATGCATATGCTGTAATGTTAAATTCTTAAATTTTAATTTAATTTTGCAGGGCTATTCACATTACATTGCAGGTTGCAGAAATGTATTTATTTCATCAAGAACAGAGCTATTTGATTTACTTGTAAATATTCCAGCCAGAGAAATTACAGTTGCTTCGCATGCAAAAGGTAATGAAAAATATTAAATATTCTAAATACATTCCACTTATAAATACTACCTTTCCCTAGAAAGTTTAACAATGACCAAAACCCACAAAGAAATAGCTCTATTCATGGTTCAATTGAGTGAAAATCAATCATATACAGAAGCTCAAATAATATCTGAAATCAATGACAAAACACAAGATTTATTGAACCAATTAAAGTCCTTAGCTTTAGTTCAAGGACCTGATGGAAGAAAAATGGTTTCTGCACAAACGTTGAAAGAAAAGAATTTACCGCCCGCGGTTGAAAATTTTTTAATCAATTTGGCTGTAGCCGAAAACTTATTTTTACTATAATTTATACATACTTATACATTTTTGTAAATATATTCTGCCAATTGTATATGAATAAATATGAATGTGCATTTAATTGAAACAGCTGACGCTTTATTACATATTTTCACTGCAAACGAACTTAAAAATTCAAACATATACCGAAAAGTGTACATCGGCGAGCATGGAAGGCTTCTTTGCGGAAAATAACATAGGAGAAAGAGGCCCCATCATTCATAGTGAAAGGTTATTCCGTCTAGTAACTGTCACTCTTCAAAAGAAGTCTACGTTGCACCGGAATGTACACATAAAACCACAAGTTTCAACGAAAAAATCGTTACGTTGAAAATAGACCTTTACGACATCTGGTGCCAAGCCCACTTGCTATTCTTAGCAAAATAATTACGATAAGTGTTTATCGCCCATGCAATAAAAGTAAAAACCAAATTGCATTTTTTTGTAACAATTTGACCTTCTATATCGATTCTTTTTAATGATCTACCCAGTACAAATTGATTGATTTGACTTGCTTATTACGGGAAGCCATTTTTTCGTAGTGGCCGCCTTTCATCCGGTACACGCGGTCGAGGTCCGTCGTGACAAACGTCGAGTAGTTAACAAATTGAGTCCTAAATTTTCTACGTAGATTACCCGGATTCTGCACGAGAGTGTATGGTGTGAAATTGACTGTATTCGTGCGAGAAAATGGCGCGATATGGACAGAGACCTGAAAATGCCCTAAAAAGGGCGAATGGTACGTATACTACTCCGTAACAAGATATGACATGGCCGATGGCTATTTAATCTAGGCTCTCAAAATTGTTGCCCTTTATGTACTTTTTACTGATCTATAACGTTTCATTCGATCGCGCGCTTCTCCACCATTGATCTATCGTAGACATTTCTACTTGTTGTATAACTATCAAACCGCCTATAGTCACGCCTGTCGAAATTTTGGGAATATTAATTTTACCCAACCATATGCATTCGCAATGATCTACTTAATATCAAAGTAAATGCCCTGCTGTAAACAATTATCTTTGTAAATAAAATGTAAGATTCAATCTTTTTACAAGTAGTGTATATTACGTGGATAAAAAAAATTATGACTTTAAGTAAAGTTTCCTACTGTATGTTTCTTTTTGTACAAACAAAGATTTACCTTATTTTTGTGTCAAATATCCGACAATTTCACTTTTAAAAAGTTTTTTTGAACAATACTAACATTGAGTTGACTTTCATAGTATCAGTACATATTTACTGTTATGTAAACTCTCAGTACTATTTTGTAATGCAACTTTGATATTATCAGTTAGTAGATATAGATCAGATCTTTATAGGTTAAATTGTTTGACATCTTGTAAAACATTTATGCTTCTCTTTTAACAGAATTCATCGAAGTAGGCAAACCAGCTCGAGCATTAGATACATTGCAAGAAGTCTTCCGGAATAAAAAATGGACGTACAACTGGTCAGAGTCTGTATTGGAACCTATAATGTTCAAATACCTAGATCTTTGCGTAGAACTGAAGAAATCACACATAGCAAAGGAGGGCCTATTTCAGTATCGAAATATGTTCCAATCTGTAAATGTTGGAAGTTTAGAAAACGTTATTCGTGGATATTTACGTATGGCAGAAGAAAAGACAAATCAGGCACGGAAACAAAGTCAACAAGCTGTCATAGATATAGATGATTTGGATAATTTAGCTACACCTGAAAGTATTTTGTTGTCTGCAGTCAGTGGGGAAGATGCACAAGACAGAAGCGATCGTACCATTCTGACACCATGGGTGAAATTTTTATGGGAATCATACTGTCAGTGTTTGGAGTTACTCAGAACTAATGCCCATGTAGAGACGCTTTATCATGATATTGCTCGCATGGCCTTCCAGTTTTGTCTCGAGTACAATCGTAAGACTGAGTTTCGCAAGCTATGTGAAAAATTGCGTAAACATTTAGAAGAAATTTGTAAATTACCAGCCCTTGTTTCTAACGTTTCTATGAACAGAGCTGAAACGCAACAACTGAACTTGGAAACGCGTTTGAATCAACTCGATTCCGCTATTCAAATGGAGTTGTGGCAAGAAGCCTTCAAGTCCTCCGAGGACGTTCACGGTATGATGAACTTATCCAAAAAACTCCCGGTACCAAAAACCATGGCCAATTATTATCAGAAATTGGCCATGGTTTTCTGGAAAGCAGGAAATTACCTTTTCCACGCTGCCGCGTTGTTTAAGTTGCTGCAGCTCTCCCGTGAAATGAAAAAGAACATGTCCTTGGAGGAACAGCAGAGAATGGCAAATCGTGTTTTGTTGGCTACGTTATCTATTCCACTGCCATCAGCTCACCCCGAGTTCGACCGTTTTATCGAAACGGACAAGAGTCCATTGGAAAAGGCTCAAAAACTCGCGACACTTTTAGGACTCACGCAACCACCCACGAGAGTTTCGTTGCTTAAAGATATCGTTCGCTTGAACATCGTCAATTTAGCATCTCCCCAATTACAAGAGCTATACTCTTGGTTAGAGGTTGAGTTCCATCCTTTGGAGTTGTGCAGTCGAGTAGATTCTGTTATCCGGACGTTACAGGCGGAGGAGAACAACCCTTTGGTTCAGTATATTCCAGCCTTGCAAGATGTAACACTGGTACGTTTGGTTCACCAGATATCACAAGTTTATCAGACCATACAATTCGCCAGACTACTGGAACTCGCCAAATTTACGACAGATTTTCACCTGGAACGTCTGTTGGTAGACTGCGTGCGTTATAACGACATGCAAATAAGGATCAATCACGGAAAGAAATGCGTGCACTTTGGGGTTGACCTATCCGAAGCCCAAAGAGAAGATCATCCTGATGGTCCTGTATTGCAAGCTATGCCTTCTGAACAAATTCGTTGTCAACTTGTAAATATGGCCACTGTACTGCATCGTGCGATTAACATCATCAATCCGAACAAGAAGAAGATGGAACGAGAGAAACTTCGTGCTGCCATGGTGAACCATTACCACGAGACCAAGATGAAAGAGCACCAGAGAATCTTAGGAAGGCACAAGATCATAGAGGAACGAAAGGAGTACATCGAACACATCAACACAGTCCGCGAGGAAGAGGAGATGCGACGACAGGAAGAATTGCAAAGGCAGCAGATGTTAGCGGAACAGAAGAGGTTGGAACAAGAAAGAGAAGAGCGGGAGAGGAAACGGCAACAGAGCGAGATCCAACAGATCAAGGATCGTCATTTGAAGGAGAAGATGCAGCAGATTTCTCAAACTAGTCATGGTCAAAAGGTGTTGAAGAAGTTAGACGAGGACGAGATCAAAAAATTAGACGCTGAACAAATAGCGGCCAGGGAAGCCGAAGAGTTGCAGAAGGAGCGCAGAGAGATGCAACAGAAATTGAAGTCGCAAGAAAAGAAGATCGACTACTTGGAACGTGCCAAGCGTTTAGAAGAAATACCGTTGCTGGAGAAAGCGGTCGAAGAAAAGATGGAGTTGGCTAAGCAGCGTTGGGAGCAACAGGAAGCTGAACGAATCGCTGCTGCCATCGAGGAGAGACAGCAGGCTGTCGCGACGAGGGAACGTATGGCGAGAATGAAAGAGGATCACGATAGTTTCTTAGCGAAGATTCTGGCCGAACGTAAGAATATTTATTTGGAGAAATTGAAGGAGTTCGAGAAAATCCTGAACGAAGAAAGGGCTAGTAGATTGCTGAAACGTAAAATGGAGCGTAAGGCAGAACGCAAAGCGAAATGGGAAAAAGAACGCGCTGAAGCTATCGAAAGAAGACGTCAAGAAGAGCTACGCATCAAACAGGAAGAGGAGAAACGGCGACTGGAAGAAGAGAGGGCCAAGAGAGAAGAAGAAGAGAGAATAAGGCGCGCAGAAGAAGAGGCGAAGGAAGCTGAACGTTTGGCCAAGATCGAAAGACAGGCAGAAATCACTAGAGCCAGAGAAGCTGAGATCGAGCGGAAGCTGGAGGAAGAAAGACAAAGAGAAAAAGAAATGTCAGATACGTGGAGACGCGGTACCGAACCCCGCCATCGTGTCCAAGACAAACCAAGTACTTATATTAATTTCTTCATCCCTTTGCTATAGTGTTCAAACGATATTAACATATTTTTTGTTTCAATTACAGTGGAAATGTCTTGGCGTCGTCCTATGGACATAAAAGACGACGGTAACAAAGACGATTCTTCGCGCTGGAAGAGACGCGAGACTTCGGATAAATGGCGAAAGGACGACGACAAACCGAAGAAGGATACCGCTGATAGATGGAGGAGAGACGACTATGACAACAAAGACGATACAAGAGACAGAGATAGGGATAGAATAGATAAAGATCGTGGAATGGATGGACGTTCGGTAAATGTACAGAACAATGATTTAAATAATTTTTTAAAATTAAGTATCAAATATATATTTTGATAACATGTTTATTTGTACACAGATGCGTGACGTTTTACGCGATTCAACGTCGGACGGCTCTCGCGGTAGTCGTGGCAGGATGCCTGATCGTAGAACTCATCGTCGCGAAGACACTATGCGTAACAGCGGTGCTCAAAACTGGCGCGACAAAACCGATACAATACAAAATTCTCCTAGGGATCTACCAAGACGCGATGATAAGTAAGTACATCTTCGCATCTTATTAACTAGTAACTTATTATCTTATTACTAGTCGGTAATAGTAAAGTTCTGCTAACCTTGGAAATATGTGCATTTTAACGTGTTATAATGATGGGGGCGCCACTGGCAATATAGCGGGATTGTATCGTGTTTATTGAGTATAAACGTGGTTTTTCCTTAATGTGTTTTGTTTTACGGTGTTTGGCCTTTTAACGATAATTGTTGATGTCAAGAATGTTGGAAATTGGTAAGGTTATTGAAAGATATATTTGATATTGTAGACGAGACGAACTGAAAGAAGATAGACTTCCACCGAAACAGGAGGAAAGAAGACGACCTCCAGAGGATGATGGTTGGTCGCAGGTGAGTCGGCGTTAACATAGGACTGGAAAGTTACCAATAGAGGCAATGTTTATTATCCTTCGAGAACTGTGCATAATATGCAGTTAGACTTTTGCCTGGAACTATCGATGGGCCCAACTCTACTGTTTTGTGCACCGTTTCATTTTTCTCCGATATACTCGTACAACAGATCAATGATACAGCACAAAGACGGTGGGTCGTAGCCAATTCACACGTATCATACAAAGGAAATAAAATAATCGGAATGTAATGTTACAACCGGAAACGACAACATTCAGTTTTTATGATTTTTCTATGGTATTCAACGATTTTCTAAATCAATCACGCTGCGTTACATTTATTGAATTTGTAAATAAAACGAAGAAAAACCGCTCTGACATTATGTATATTTACGAATTATTGTATCGCATTTCATGTCAAATATGAATCAATGTACAGAGCAGAAGAGATGGTGAAACGAGTGCGAGTGTCAACGAATTGGTTAGGTCTTCTAACGGCAGAGGTTAATGGTCTCAAAACGTAAATAAAGGTCTCTTGTATCCTAATACTTATGTTACTTTTTTTTTACGAACGGACTGTGTGCCGTGCAATACACCTTTTCCTGGAACGAGTAAAGAAGAGCCACGATGAAAGATCAATATTCTTCCACATTCATAAACACACACACACAACACGTACACATTCAAGGCAACGATCTTAGCTTGTGTATTAGTTTTGAGACGAACGCGAAAACCGACCTCATTATTATGATATAAATGAAGATCTACGCATCTTATCCGTAATTGTCTTTTTAATTGTTTTATTATTACATTTATGATATAGTTCGTAATTAAAATACTACATAATAAATAAATCACTACAGAGTATCAAACTCCGTTTCTATTTACATCCTAACTCGTACAAAAAAAGCCACAAAATCGATTTATCCCCTCGATCGCTACGAGTCTTTTTAACGAAGACAACATTCTTACGGTTCTAATCTTTAATTACACAACCATACGAAGCGTTAAAAAGTTCTTAAGTAAACGTTAATTTAGAGATTAATGAAGACAAATGACTAAATAGGCGCATAGGAAATAGTAATAAAAGTAACACCATAAACAAAGATTCGACGTGATATAAATACTATTTCGATAAGAGGGAATACGTCTTACAAAATAATTGGATTCATCGTTGAAAATATGATAATTTTACACAAAAGCCGCTCGGTTATCGCACATTTCCACTGAACTCGCGTATCAAGCGCAATCGAATGCAGCAAACTCAACTCATGCATAAAAACCTGCGAAACTCGAAGAGTATTTAACGTCGGTCCTGTTCACTTGGGAAAAAGAAATGCCAACATGTAGGAACTTCACAGAATACACAGTTGAACGACGGGAATATTTCGCTCTCCGCGTTCGATGGACTTCTCCCATTGTTGCGCCATCTCCGAGCGCTGTTTCATTTCTGTAATGGATCTGTTCTTTCCTTTGAACATTCGTCTCAACAGCGATGGGATTCAATACAGCATTATTGCCGCTGCTGTCTTTTCCTCCAATGCTGGAATTGTCTCCAGACGTTCGATCTTGTCCCGCCCCAAGCCCCAGCCGACCAATGCTATGCTGATTAAATGCACCACGCCAGCGCACACCACGAGCCTGCAAAAATTCGCCAAAAGGTATCGGTATTTTATCTTTCGATCTTTTGTTATCGAAGGTAGCTACAATAGGTGGCAATCTTCCGAAGACAACTTTGCGAATTTAGGACGAATTGGGGGAGGTTGGGGAATGGAATTTAGGGGGAGCTTAGATCGAAGAGAAATTTGAGATCTGGAGATTATTCGCAATTTTTTAATTTTGGAAATATGGGATTTTAGATTCGGGGCTTAGGAATTTCGGCACTTGGCATACATTCTTATATATTTTTGGGTCCATGCAAATTTTACTTTTCTAAGTTCTCAGAGTTCCTTCAGTCTTCAATTCTCTTCATCCTTCAATCTCATTCTTCATCTTCCAAATCTCTAAATTTCTACATCCTCGAATTCTTAAACCCCCCCATTCCCAAATGACCGCATCTCCAAATCTATCCCCCTATGTATATATCACCGAATCCCTAGATCCTCGTATCATAGCTCCACATGTCCCTAGATCCATAGATCTCGATATCGTACCCCTAGCGAGACACAAACCGCGTTTCGCGACACGATCGATAAACGGAGAGGCTTTATGTAACGTCGAAAAATGTCCCCGGGTATTGGAGTGCAGATTTCAGGGTTCGCCAATAACCACGAAACGGCGGATGATCGGTTGAGTCTGAGTTTTCATACTCTCAATGGACCGGCGAACAATCGAGCAGAGAAACAAGAGACTTCGGTCTCTCTCTTACCAAAACGAATAACCCAACTCGGCCGAGCCTTCGCTGGTCCACATATTGTCGATGTCCTCCTTTGGCAGCACGTTGAAGTACAGCTTCGTGTAATACTGTGCCAACCAGGTGCTCGTACTCGCCAGGCACATTAGCACTGAAACAAACACGGATAGTGTCAATGTTTGACATTTTTTTTCACATCATTTGCATCGTTAGATACAGAGGTGTAACTCTAATTGCAAGCTGTGATTGGATCTAACGTTATGAGAATGAAATTGAGTTGTAGTATTTCCTTAATTTTCCGTAAATTTATTGCCGGAAAGCTGTTGTCAGATTAACAAGGAAATTCAGCTGGGAACTTACGCGTCAGGATGTTTATGAAGTACACGCCAGGATCCGAGAGGATTTTCGACCTCGGCGAGGTGGCTGTGTTCAAAACGGCGAGGAGAGCGGCTAAGCCCGCGGTGACAAGCGCCGCCGAGGTTGTCGTTAAGGTGCTAATCCAAAGTCCCCAAGACATCACCGTAGGATCTTGTTTGATCATCTGAGGCACTGTAACGAACCACATAAATTACTTAAAAAAGTGGAGGCCGCCGGTAGCTCTCGTGCGCGTTACGAATTAATCAGAGGAGCGTATCAAGAAGGATCTGAATTTAAACGAACTCTCTTGGGAGTTCTGGAAGATAAACGCAAAGGACATAAATGTTAGCATATTTATTCCAGAATTACCGTCGCCAGGCAAAAATTTCATCGAGTTTTTCCGAGCGAATCGAATCGCAGCCAGATTGGCGTGCAAACAGAAGTTATCGTAGCGAGCAATGAATAATTAAGCGCGCAGTAAATACTCTTACTTTGGCTAGTTCAAGTTGCATCGCATCGCAAATAACGGACTGTTTAATTAACCCGGGACGAGGTTCCCGGTGAATGAAGGTAACAGATTGCGTCCACCAAAGAGTCTCAGGAATTGCTCGACAACAGCTCCTTGCCTTGTAAATCATTCGGTAACAACGAAATGTTTATTAATAAGAAATTTTCTCTATAAAGGTGTATCTAATCTTCCTGCGGTGGCGATATAACGGGAGTCTGCTGTAGTAGAAATTTCATCTGGAACGGTTCCAAAAAGTACACTGTCCTATTCCCGCATCAATATTCCAGAATTTCGATAGTTGCTAGATGTTTCCTATCAGACTCTCTGTCTCTCGAAATCAATTTTCCCGAGCAACATTTTCCGTCCTTCCAGCGATTCTTCCACATCACGTTTCCAGATCTGTTTTCCAGCGTGTTTCGCATCGATCCCGAAGTTTGACGAAAAAACTTGAAAGAAAAGAAGTTTTCTGTTCCGCTCTACATCCATTCAGAGACGTAACGAACGGATCGAACACGCTATGAACACGAGGAGAATGTATCAGGATGATAATCAGGCCATCTTGCGGCCAAGTAGTTTCATGCCATCTGCGGCGAGGTGTCGAGTATCGGAATCGTGTTTAAAATTTTCCTGGCGAATCAATTGCTTGGAGGAAAATAAGGACAGGTATCTTGCCATCGACGAGAGGCTATTAAGCTTAATTTACGGCAGAGTAACCGCGTTTTCTGTTCGAAGAAATCATACTTATAGAGAAAGCAAGTAAGATGTTTTTTGGTACCTGTTCGAAACAAGCGACTTCCAATTATTCCAGATGGAAATAAATTCAGTACGGTGTTGTATCAACTCATCATCAAGTTATCGTAACGTAAACATATGTTAGTCATAGTTCCAGCTTATTTAGCCTCCTGTACTCTGTTACTGTCCCTTGTACCTTGACCATCCACTATTACCCTTGATTACCCATTATTACCCTTATATATATTTGTAACGAAAAACTCGAAAAAAAGTCAGATTTCTGTGTGGCAGTACCAACGTGCGGTTCTTGCCGTTTGTCAAATAAACTCATAAGTTCTAAAGTGTTTTTAACCCCTTGCGCTATGACTTATTTGTCAGGTGCGTCAGTCAGAACTGACTAATTACAGCTACAATATTAACACTAAAAGTACCAAACCGGTCAAATGACCGCTCTATAAGTTTTTAATTATAAGATACACATTTTGTTAAAATCTACATTGATTTTCATCCATATGAAGAATAAATGTATGTTCTATTTTACGTTTCGTCATTCGTTTATTTATTTTTTAACTTCATTTTTAATTTCGAATGAAGTATACGCTATATGCAGGTCCGGTAGGTTTAGTGTTAAAACAGACAAAAAAATTTGAAACGTTATGTCAATATGTTATTATACAATCGTTGACTATGCAAATTGGACTTGAACTCCAAACTGAAGTGTACTAAAAATTCGAGTAAAATTAATTACGGCCGAAATATGATTGCGTGACGAGTCAGTCTCGTCAAAATAGTGCAAGGGGTTAATTCTACAGCCCGGAATTGAAGAACGGTCATCTTGCACCGATGATTAATTACCTGTTGGACACGGTTAGCAAAGTATATAAATAATAATGAAATATTTGAAGAGGACTCGAAAAGAGCGTAACGAAAGGTTGCGTTCAAAGGCAAACTCGTTTACCTTTCATTCCATCTTCCGTTCGCTCGAAGAGGTCGCTACCTCCTTTGATTTTATTAATTCTATTTTCGCGCAAGAGGAGGAAAACAGAAGAGAAGATGCTGTAGAAATCATACGGCCGTGGTATTAATTCAGGTCGCCGGTGAATATTCTGTTCCTAAAACGGTTTAAATGCAAATGGCTGGCTGTGTTCGAGCACAAAGAATCCCCGTTAACTCGACAGACAGATTCCGTATCTGCGTGCGAAAACGTACCGGCTCGACGAGCGTATCGAAGCGGTGCGCTCGGCGTGTTTCCATCTATACGTCCCTCGATAAGGACAATGGGATCGTTGACACGCGTCACGAGGAACGTTTCTCTTTCATTGAAGCAGGCCAATAGTTCCGAAGGGACTAATGTTCCAGCTCGATCACGTACTCGATAGTACGTAGTCGATAGTGGCGTGCACACGTTCCTGTGAACGTGGGTCACTAACGGCCTTGCATTTTTATCCCGGCTGCGACAGCGATACTGCGAGCATGCTCGATCGGTATGCGTGCCGCTACAGGATCGGTGTAATCGCTTATTAATTACTTGCCTTTCTCTCGACATCGTTCACCGACCATCAACAAACGAATTAATCGTGCACGAGCACGCGACTCGCTACATTATTCTACAGGGAGATCTCGTGCCGAGATGAACAGTTATGGAACTAGAGATTGCAGATTTACTGTTAGGGGAATTTGGATATTCGCGGCTTGGGAATTTGTCAATTTCGAAAGTTGAAAGCTAATTCGATTTGTGTAAAAATACGAATTGCTTCGTGTTTATTACACACAAGTTGCAGGTCGTATTTCGAAGCTAATAAATTCTACAACTCTGTCAACCTAGTCTACAGTTTGTAACTGCAGGGTGCCTTCTGTTAATAAAATTTACTACTGCTACTCGTAATTGGATCTGCAAATTCGGTAATTTGGAGGTTCCGAAATTTCGGAGATCCAACTATAACCACTCGTAAGAGCAACCATAATCCCACCCGAACTATTCTCATATTTCGCACAGTACATGTTCATAATATCTCAAAATCAGCGGAGCCGATGCGAAAGAACCCTTCGAAAAATTCACACGTTCGTATCTTTCCACATTCGAGAAGAAAATTGCTGATACATGCGCGACTCGTTTCGGTAGCTTCCGGGATTGTTGCAGAAGAAATAATCATTAGATCACGGAAATACGTGGAGATTGCTTGTAATTTCCAAGCACGATTTCATCAAGGCGTTCGAGGACGCTTTACGCGTCTCCCACGCGTTCCCGTCGACACCGGAGGCGGTTCGAAGCAAAGAAAAGCGAGCCGAGGGAAAGATTCCGTCCGCGAGAGTAGCTAGCCAACCAGCGATCGTAACAATAGGAACAGAAACAGGTTTCCGAGAGCGCAAAAATCTTCGGCCGTGCCTCGTGGTCGACTTTCACGTGCACGCCGGTTAACTCGTATCATCGACTTCCTCCGCTGACCACCGAGAATATTAAAATCCCTTTTCCTGACAACTTTCCGCCACCGACGAAAGTCACGTATCGCGTTTCTGTTCCGAACAGATCTCATCTTTTTGCCTCGTTTTCTTCGATAAATGAAAGATACTCCTTGAATTACGATCTTCTGATGTGTACCGTGGGAATCTTCAGACGTTAACATTAAGTTCTTTTTATTTAATAATCGAGCAGAATGCAATATGACCCGGTAAACGCGTTAATTTCGAGACAATGCGTTTCATAGCGATACAACGCAACACTTTATCGCACCTCCGTAATCAGGGTTGAACGGGAGATCCGTAGTCGATCCATCAAAAGTTTTTCACGAAGCTGATCGCGATATGCAAACGATCGAATCGATCAACGTAGCATGAAGAACGAGGTACGAGCAGCATTAGCTCGATTTCGTGACTAATAACAGAAAGAGAGCGTCTGCGGAACAAAACGAACCGAAGCTGATCGAACGATTATCAAATGCAGGATTTATGGCAGAGGTGCTCGCGAGTCTCCTCGTTTACCGCAGAGATCGCGTGCAGGTACAGTTATGCCGAATGAGATTCTCGGGCTTTGGCCAACTATCCGGCGAAATTTATGGCCCCCAGTATCACACCGCCTGCCCCAAGCACCAACAGAATCTTCCTCGTGCGGTTCTCTGCGACGATAACTGCTCGACCGATATTAGCCGAGGTTACAAGCCAGATTTCCACTTGCTTTAAAATGTCCACATTTTCCGAAACGGTTCACTTGTCAATGGTATGAAGAATGCTCGTTCGGAAATTGCGTATTCGACTTATTCTAATTATTCGGTAACGAGCTACTCGCTGGAAACGAGAATTAACAAGAAGCAAATTGAATATCTTAGCAGGTATTCATGGTCAGTGTACGAGAATAAATACGTGGTCAGTGTGTTAACACGTAAACTTCACGGTAAAGTAAATTCGACGAACAGTACCGGCGTTTTCTGGTGGTTTTTTACGATCAGCGATGACGTGTGCTGGTTACCGCCCGCATTCGACGCCTTTACAACTCGAGGCTGACCGAATCGGCTTTACACGAGGTAGCGAATGTAATTTACAATTGTCACGTTAGCTAGGCTCGAAATTGGGAATTAGAAACTTAGGAACTCAGAGTACGTTAATTTAGAATTTTAATATGGGACTTAAGATTTTGGCGAACTTGAAAATTCGGCTAAATAAGCATTTGGACTTTTAGAATAAGATTTCGATAGCTTAAGACTTTGGTAATTTGCTGACAGAACTTGAATTAATAACTTTCAAATTTGACAATCAAGTGATTACACACGTTTAGATGGAAAGACAAAGAAAAGTAGAAAACTTACTTTCAGAATAAGATTTCAATAGCTTAAGACTTTGGTAATTTGCTGACAGAACTTGAATTAATAACTTTCAAATTTGACAATCAAGTGATTACACACGTTTAGATGGAAAGACAAAGAAAAGTAGAAAACTTACTTTCAGAATAAGATTTCAATAGTTTAAGACTTTAGTAATTTACTAACATTAGAACTTGAATTAATAAATTTTCAATTTGACAATCAAGTGATTACACACGTTTAGATGGAAAGACAAAGAAAAGTAGAAAACTTACTTTCAGAATAAGATTTCAATAGCTTAAGACTTTGGTAATTTGCTGCCATTAGAACTTGAACTAACAACTTCCAAATTTGACAATGAAATAATTACACACATTTAGATAAAAAGACAAAGAAAAGTAGAAAACTTACTTTCAGAATAAGATTTCAATAGCTTAAGACTTTGGTAATTTTCTAAAATTAGAACTTGAACTAACAACTTCCAAATTTGACAATAATTACACACGTTTAAATGAAAGAACAAAAAAAATAAAAAACTTACCAGAGATGTGATAGGTCCTCCATCCATAGGCGACGTTCAGTTCCTTCTTGCCTTGAAGAAGACCAAAATGAACGCGACCGGCGCTTTCCTGGGGATTCGGTGTTCTGAGAGGTCGTGCCTCGACCCAGTGTTGGGTTACTAGGGCAGCACAGATCAACCCTCCGCCGAGCAGCGACAAAAAGTACGTGGCAAAAATGGTACCCCTTCGAAACATCGACGTCATCCTCGGGTCACGCGGCAAGCCAGCCTTCGGGTAGTTCGAGATCACTGGACAAGAGAAAGGTTGAAAGAAATGAACGAATGGCGAGAGTCGTAGCGGATATGCAGCTCCGCATTCCTTTCATTCTGGAAACAAGTTCGATAAAGTTTGGTACGTTGCGACTTACAAGAACAAGTTTTCTTGGCTTTTTTTTGTGGAGTTCCAGGTAACGATACGATAATTGGAATTTAATCCTCTGGGAGAATTAAAACTGGAAGCTGATCTTAGGGTTCTGAGACATTAGAGTACTTGAAGAATTTAGGAAATTTTTTTAATATATTATAAGTGTATGAGTCTAGGGACCTCAGTCTAGATATTACTCGGAAGTTGGAAACCAACCTGCGATTTAGAAGAATTATGCAAATAACTGGCACTTGAAAAAAGTCGAAAGTTGATAGGAGACGATCTCAGGTTCGCAGAATTCGATACGGACGTCGCTGGTTACATGGAACTCGATACAGATGGCCTAACGGGTCCCAGAAGAAGTTCCGACAGGGGAATTCTTGATCTTGATATCGGCGGAATCACCGAGATTCGGAACCTGAAGAACGTCTTTGGATTCTTGGTCCAGTATTCGAATCTTCCCGAACTTATGATACCTCCGTGTCTTTCGAGTACTTTCGGCTCTGACAGCATCTAATGGTTCAAAGATTTTCGAGATACCCGAAGATCTGAAACCTTCTGGAACGTCTGATATCTCCAGAACTTTTGGAACGTCCAATGTCTTTGGAAACTTTGAAAGTCTACGAAACCTTTCGACACCTTTGGAACCTCCGAACCTCCTTAGGCTCTAAACTCTAAAGTCTAGGAACTCCCGGAATTTCTAAGATCGTTCGATAGCTGCAGTGTTCCTAAAATTTCCGCTGCCTTCGACACTTGAAAACTCCAGTTAACACTTACGAGTCCTCCGGTAAACTTCGCGACACAATTTCGATATATTATCGAAGCCAGATTGGGTTTTTTTACGTCGAGAACGAAAGCGCGTAGAAAAATGTCAGAAATGTCAACTTTTCTCCGGAATGCACATCAAACGACTCGTTTCTCTTTGCATAAAAAGAAGCGGTTGCGTATCTGTCGTCTAAATAAGAAAGACCTGTCCTCGAAATAACACCTTATATTTGGAGAACGTTCCTTTCTCTCGAAGCGGTTTCTCTTTCCTGCAAACGAACGCTGCTGGAACAACAAGACGATCTAGTGTGGGCTTCGACGACAGACCATTTAAATTATAGTGTGGTTAACTATGCCACTTTCGCAACAATTATCCGCCTGCTAGAAAAATCCATGGGCGTGAAAGCGCCTCGGGATGGAAAATTTAGTTTCCACAAACCATTTCATCTCACTTGACTCCATACATGACGTACATATATGCAGAAGTACCTATATAGAAATTAGACTTAACGTTCTAAATTGTTGAGACAAAAACAAGTGGCTAGAAGTATCAATGAGATAATTTAAAAATGAATGAAGTGAAGACCAAAAATGACCACTCTAATGTTACCCTAATTTACGGTGTTCGAAAGGAACATAAAAAGAACAATAAAGTAAATCGAAAATCGTATTGTATACAAAGCAATCGGGATGAGTTTTCCAGGGATCAAAATGTCCAATTCAGACAGCGTATCGTGTATCTCGTTAAACGACCAAACAGCCAGAGCGAACGACCCCCTAATTATTTCGAGCATTGTCATCGAAAATAGCCATCAGTGACTTTCTACCATTGTGTCTCCGAAGAACACCCCCACTCAGCGTTTCAAACTGGACAAGTTTTGTTCGAATGCAAATACAACTTTCTTCGACACGATTTCGCGCAACTTTTTAACGAATTCGAAATACCTGTGTTTATCAATAAATTGTCAACGTCGCAGCCACGACGCTTCAATTAACAATCTGATAAGCCAAAGTTTAGTTCTGGTCAGCAAGTTGCTTGAACAGGCAACAACCACAGGGTGGAAATTCGACTTGAACGGTGAAGAAGCTTCCTTCACTCTTAAACAGACAGGCTAATCACTGCCCGGAGCTGGTGTCCACCGCTATTGTCCGTCGCTTTGTCCCGGCTCGCAACTTGCCGTGCACAACTAAACTTCGGAGCAACGTTTCGAAAGTTTGCGCGCGATACAGTCGGATGCAAAACGTGAGGCCACGTACCTTGTCCCTGGTTCTCGACGAAGTGCACCTGGTTCAAGCTCCTCGAGAACTCGCCCCGCTTGACCTTCTCTGAGAAATCGTGGTTGGCGAGCCTCTTCGAGAACTTGACGCGACAGTTGGTGTTGCGAGGCTGTTTGCCGGGCCTCGACAAAGAGGACGGTCTCGGCCTCTTCGCGAACGTATACGGGATGGTATACGGTTGCGCTACGTAAAAGTAAATCGGCCGATAGTCTTCATGGAGATGAGGCTGCTGCACGAAGCCACCGTTCGCCGGGTAGCCACTGTACACGCTCGGTGCCCCGTTGCTGTACGCGTACGAGCCCGTGTAGTGCACCCCGTAGTGGTTCGCCGTGTTTCGTGACTTCCTTCCCACCGTTTTGAAGAAAAAGGGAGATCCCTTGCTCTCCGCGAACTCGTACTCCGGTTGCACGATCAGCGTGGAAAATTTATGTTTACCGATTGCTACGCCTTTTCGATCCTCTTATGGATCGACCCTCGATGCAACTTTACTCGGACTGTTTCTACTCGAATTCTTATTCTTCCTCGAACTTTAGTTACACTTTGCAACCTTGTTATTTGGACAATTCTGACTGCGGTACTTCGTAGATACTTCACGGAATCTGACTTCAAATTTATACTTCTGTTTATTTGTAATTTAATTCTGTTTCTCTGTAAATCTCGTTTTAACTTCACCTCGTTGGTTTATAGTTGTCAGCGGTGTTCTATGGATTTGTTAACTTGGACACTGGTTATATAATTGTATTCAGAGATATTCTTTATTTCTTGATAATCTTGCTATAACTTCTGGATACTCGTTACATGTAATTACATTCACTGATTATAGATTCCTTGATAAACCTTGCTGTAGCTTCACCTTCGTGCAGTTTATAGATAATTGTATTTGGTAATATTTTGCATGAAATCTTTATAGGTGATTCAAGCTTATCTGGTCACTGCTACTGTTTAATCTAATGACGTTCCTTGTGGATCCTGGCTAAATCTAGCTCTAGCTGCACCTGACCATTTCTGTTTAATCTAACTGTAATTGTGTACGTTATGGATCCTGAATCTCACTCTTGGACTTGTTTATACGCAACTATATTCGATTCTCTGGATTTCTTCCTTCCTCTAAATTCGTGTGGACATCCTTGCAGTTTAGTTTCGTACTCCTTGCTAAATCTTGCTGTCGACACCTTTATAGCTTTAGTATTACCCGATCGAGTGCTTTATAAGTTCCTGAATATTGCCAAGCTTCGTGCGTTATTTACTGATTCGTTGATGGAGTGTGGCTCGAAATCCACCCGTAGAACTGTTTAATGTTTGAAAGTGTTTTTATGGATATCTGTTGCGAATTAGGTTACTAAGACGTTCTCGAAGTAAGTAAGTTTATCGATATTATCTAAGGAGTGTCGCAATCGTTTGTCGTTTTCCGTGAAACTTAAGCTCTTCCTATTAGCCGAATCGATCGAACCGAACGAAACGATCTATTGTTTGTCGTGGTTTCCTTTCACCTTTTTATCGACGGCGTAACGAGTAATCGAACGATGTAGCTCTCCTCGACTCGATCAAGATTGCTTTTCTTTGGTTCCGAGGAATCGCGGATTCGACAGTCTATCGATTATAAATTCGAATCGTTGCCTCTCCTCCAGCGGATCTGACCCAGTTATTTTTTCAACGATTCGAGGAAACGAGGGTACAAAACCGTTTTCCTGGTGGCGTTCAATGAGATTTCTTTCTCCTTTTTCGACGATTCTTTATCAAGCAGTCGTGATTCAGTACCGCAATTGAATTTTTGCGCCCGACTATCTCTGTTCGAGCGGAAGATTGTTTTCCCGTGAACTGCCGGTTACTTTCGACGAGAAAATCGTCCTACGGTATCTTTTTTCTCCGCGCTTTCGGTTATCAATTAAACACGCCGGCATAGGTGTTCGAAAGTTTTTCGCCTCGACTACCGGACACCGTTTCAAAACGCTTTATTTGCATGTAAGAGCGAAAACACGAGGCTGGGTTTCCTCCTCGCGTGTTGCCTTCTCCCTGCTTTAAATGATAAAGGGTGAAATCCTTTGAAAGTTACGGGTTCCCAGTGTTTTTCATGAATATTCTCCTCGTTGCTTTCGTCTCGTCCTCGAAAGGTCCACCCTTCTTGATTCTCTCCTCTCTTTTCCGTTTCTTTTTCAACGACCACTTAGGCGAGCCGAGTCGTTGGTCGATTTTTCCGCGAGGTTAGTTAGAATCTCGAAAAAGAAAAGAGCTATCCGGCTTGTCTGGTCGAATTAAAATTTTAATGCGTCCGTTACCGGCTACCGTGCTGTACTCCTAGGCGATAGTAATCGCGTTAATTGAACCACGTTCGCTCCTTGATTCGTTCGAGGAAAATCGTAAAAACAAAGAAGAACACGTGTCCTTGTTAATCCTGTACTCCCCGGTTGCGGTGCAGGCGAGCGAGAATAAGTGCGGAGCTGGCACGATAATCGGAACGATACCTAAGAGAGGAAAGAAACTGGACACAGATCTCGTGTCTTCGATTTGTAATAAACTGCAGAATCTGCGGCGAACGATCGGGACGCGTACGCGTTTGAAATTGTGTCAAGCCATGTATCGTATTTAACTCCCCCTCTCACCGGAAGTTATTGTGCCGAGCGTCGCACGATTTTGTATCTACGATGCTTCGGGATTCCTCTCGAGTACCGCTCGATGTCCAGGTTCCTTGGAAGCCGCGTTGCAACGTACTCTTTTCTTCCAGCCACACCGTTTCGCGTTGTGTCAACTGTAAACAATGCAGTCCACGTAAGTCGTGAGCTCGAAAATGATACATCTACAAGGTGTCCCTTTTTCACCCATTACATACTACTCCCTTTTTTTCTACAAATTTTCAAGCGAATTCCGATTCGATTCTCTTCGAAGATATCTTCGATGTAAAGGTTCTTGAATTTCGAATGTGGTCCTCGTGGATTCGAATGAAACCCGACTTATATCGGGGTAATTGAACATTCCGCGTCGATAATAGTGGTAGCATAATGCCGAGCGAAGGTTCCAAATTTCTTTTCTTATCGAACGATAATGCACGGATAGTTTGGAGATAGTCGAATAGGTAAAAATGGGACACCCTATATATAACGTAACATAGAATGAAGTCGGACAAAAGATTTCACGCGGAGAGAAAGAGATTTTCAAGAAACGGCTCGACGTCTCGCATTTAAAATTCCTCATCTAGAATCTCTGTAAAACTAAATTGAAACTCTGAAATTGAGATATCAACGGAAAGATAGGTGTAAGAGAATCGTCGCTGTAGCGTTCTCGAAAATGAAATAATTTACGGAGAGGTTTAATTTTCTGTGAAGTGTGCGTCAAAATTTTGTAGATTAAGCGGAGAATAAAATCGATAACGTTTAAAAATGAAAACACGAAGAAGCGCTTGCAGAAGCTTCGTTTAATGAACATACAATACATTTGCAGCTTTCATCGCGTGTTATTCAATCTTTCTTGCTATCTCCAGTTATTTTTCAATGTTTCCAAAATGAGTTTACGTTGGTATTCATGAATAACACCGTCGAGTAGCATTCTTGACGTAACTGGAACAGCAATTGCGCGAACGTAATATATTGCATTCACACGTCCACGTGTTACGCGGCGCTTCACTTTTTACAAATTGTTTAAGTGTTACTCCGTTACCGTCCATTTCTGTTCCGGCGGAATTATACCAACCGGAAGTAACTCGAACTAATTTGCGAGCGGGTCGTGCGCGCACGCTCGCATTCACTGCGGCCGAAAAATACTTAAAAAGAGGAAACGCTGGCGTTTCGCAAAATGGCAGAAAAGAGCCGCGACGAATTTCTGGACGGGTAATCCGTGATAAAGTGTGTACACCGCGGAACGGGCTTCTCGCGAACGAGAACGAGTTTAAGTTCAAACTGGTCTCGATGATCTGGTCGCGTTGATTTTCGTAATCGAAACCTTGAAGCGAAATCGCTGACATTAATACCAGTTATGTTGATGAAAAAACGACAACGAACTATCTCGAGACGAGGTAATAAAGCGTCGATTAAGAATAAATACATGCTCGATTAAACGTTTTCCTTTCCCTTGAGATATAATAATTACGCAACGATTATTACATCCTCCTATCCAGTTTATTAGCTTATCTCGTATGCTCATTCCTGCAACTAGGATGTCTGTTTAACTAGGTTTTTGAGACGAACTAGGTTTCTACTGATTTTAAATTAACCACCATTTTGTGAAGACAATTTTTAACTTCACAATTTAGCAACGTATCGATTTATAAAACTCTTAATCTTTCCATTTCCCAAAATACTTTTCAGAACCGCAAATTGTCGTGTCAGGTTTCCAAATCTCCCATTCTTCACTCCCGAGTCTAAAGCCAACCTTGCCAGCCTCAGTCTTCGGCCCAGTACAGTAATTAATGTTCATAATTACGTTGGAAAGACTGTTTCGAGATAACATCTCTCTCAAAACGTAATCTCTACACTTTCTCCTCTGCTCTAATTATTCTGTCTATAAACACAGTGGAGCCTGATGCGCAAACATCTCTGGTTGTCTCCTCTCTAAAGTCGAGCATTTTTCACCGTTTTAGAAAACGAGTCTAGAAAATAAGCGTTTTAGAAAGCAGAATAAAAGTATCTTTTTTCCCTCAAGACCTACTTCTATCGTTCTTTTGTTCGCGTAAGGAACTCAAAATCTGAAACGAAAAAATATATTGCTACTCGAACTCCGTTCTTCTGAACTCGAACGACATTATCGATACTTATCGACACCGGTAGACAAAGTTCCATTTCATGGAAGAAGCGTCGCGTCGCAAACAGACGGATACAGATCGCTCGTTGGCTCTTTGTCAAATCATCTCTGTTGTCTCGTACTTTTACGCCTTTCGCTTGCTTCATCTTTTTCCTAGCGGGCGATGATGTTTCACACGAGGCTACGTGGCTGCATCGTGATACGGTCTAACGGCATTCAGTCGACCTCATCATCATCCCGCTTCTCCATAGTCGCGCACACGTTCTTGTATTTTCCTAGCTCTTACATTTTGCCAGTTTCTGCTTCTCTGTCTCGTTCGCGTCTCTTTGTTCTCCCGTTTCTCCTTTGCTGTCAGCTCTCTACCTTTCATTCCTCTTTTTTACCTTTTTTTTCTTCCTTTTGCCGCTATATCTCTTATCTTTTTCTCATATCTTTCTAGTCCCTCCAGTCTTCGCCAGCCGCGATCTCTTTGTACCTCAGCTCTCTCGTATCTCTGCTCCTGACAGAAATCAAGAGTGGCGATTAACGTTGAATATCGTTTCAATGATACCAACTTTTCAAAAACACCGGCAATTTTTATTCCTGCGGATTGATCGTAAGTGATCGAGGACGTTTGAGGCTAAGTTCTATTTGAGGCACTCGAACTTTCCCTCTTCGAATTTAACGAGCCCGAATGTCGAATAGAGTTTGAAGCATTTCAACTTCCCGAAACCTATCGAGTCCCAAAGATTCGAACCCCCTCGCGAATTTGAAACACTTAAACTTTGAGGCGCCCTGAATTCCAAACGTCCAAATTGCTCTAAACAGTCGTACCAAGACGGAATCGTCGAGAGCTCTCTCGAATTTAAATCCTTCAAAGTTCCAAACGATGGGACCTCGAAACGCGTAAAATTTTCAGCGAACCGCTTTTCCAGTCGAAACGGCAATTTCACCTTTCTCCGCGTGCCAGGGTCAAGATAGGTATCCGGGGTACGTCTGTCGCTGAACGTAATGCGATTCGATCCGGACGGCGATATCTTGACATTTTTTCTCCCGAACGGATTGACTCGTTGTTACAACCGGTTCGGTTCGCAGATTTTTCTTCCCGACTGACGCAACTCTTTCGACATACACCGGCCACTAGCTTCGAGGCATCGGACAAAGATGCATCGCGGTGGTCCACCATGGCCTGTGAAACTAGGACACGTAACCGTCTCCCACTACCTCTGCTAACCAGTCTCCTTGTACCGTCCACTCGAATCGCGTAACGCCACTTCGACGATGATAAAATTACGAGGATCGGCTGATTCATGATAGTCAATTTATTCCTGTCGTCGATTTTCTCGTTTCTGCTATAAAAAAGAAAACAACAGTCCGACTGAAACTGAACCGGTTTCCTTCGATTGGTCACGTCGAATTAACGCGTGTGAAATCAGACAAGGATGATACTTTGACAAGAATGTTCGGACTTATCTTCCAGAGATAAGTCGAGTCTTTTAACTAGTAAATTGAGTCGACATCGCCGGATATAGATAAACTCCGGTACTAATAAATATTTATTTACAGCTTCGGTGCCAGGCAGGTGACAAAGGAGTTAATCATCCTAGCAAGATGTGTAGCTGGCACAATTAGAAATGATGATTCTATTGAATATCGAAGGTTGTTCCCGTTTTTCTTCACGGTTAAACGAGAGAGATCCGTTTGTCTGTGGACAACCATCTTGCGAAGATAAAAAGAAGAAACGAGAGTAGGGGGAATGATGAGAGAAAGGTAGTTGGAGCATGTACGATATGTAATTTCCTTATGGTTCTTCTAGAAATAACTCCATTACGAAATTCTTCTCACGAGATACTTTTACGACGGGGCACGAAGCGGCCGCAATTTTAACGCGAATAAACTTTCCGAGCAACGCGTAAAAGGATCCGCGAGTAAAATTGGCAATATGGAAATTACCGGTAAATTTCGATCGAGTTTCAAAGGGTTAAACGCAATGGTTTCATCATAGCTGAAACTGCTCGACGTTTGAATCCGCGTTACGATGCAACAATGACCTCATGAATAATTTAACACGCGCCATTGTCTCATCGGTATGTACTAATAACATCACGTCAGTTGTAGCGTATCTGACACTGATTCACTTCGTGAATGCGTTCCTTCTTTATTTCCTATCCGGTCATACGCACACCCGATTGTTTTAAAATATTCTTAAACCCGGATGCACGCGATTTTTATCGATCTCGCGGTATCGATACCGCTCAACGTTCGCCATTTTTCTACGTTTCGAGTTCCATGGTTATCCAAGATGAAAACGAGTTTGCACGAGATTATTATCTCTCTCCGAAGGCAATAAAGGCTAATGGAATTTATACAACGAATGAGAAAAATATCATTAATCTTGTCTAAGTGAAAAAGCTATTTACTGCAAAATTAAACACGTGTTTGAATATTGCATTGTTCAATTAGGCATTCGAGCTTTCCTTTCCTTTCGGAAAATTAGATTCAAATTAACTTTGAATATTTCTGATGAAAGTTGCACTTCAGAGATGGAGGAACGAATATTCGTTGACGTAACGTAGGGATCAGGAAGGGTCTGGCACGACGTTCTCTTTCTTACAGCCAATCAGAAATTTCCAAATTTCTGCAAATCTCTACATCCTTAAATCCCCAAGTTTCTTTCCTAAGAACCCGATTCCCAAATTTTCAAATTTCTTAATATGAAAATCCTCGAATTTTCGAAAGCCGTCAAAAGAATTTTAGAGAACAAGGGGACCCACCCTAAGGACAATGCTAATTACTGCGACGCGAATGCTCGTCTCACAAAGTATAAACGCATTCTGATAATTAATAATGCAGAAGGTTGACAAAAACATGTCATTAACCGGCTTTGTAAAAAGAGGAGAAAGAAGGTGGAAAAGAATGTTTGCCTGCATTGCTTTGGCATCGTTTGCCTCCCGTTCCGCTTCTCTCCCACGTCGTAAAGGTCCCTTTATTACTCAATTCAAACTTGAACCAAGTGACCTTCAACATTCACCAACGAGGAAACGATTTCCGATACTCTCGATCGTATTTCGGGCACAGCACTTATCTCCTCACCGTACCGAGCACAATTCAAATCGTAACGATACTGATAGACACCGCGTCGGGACCAATTCGCACGTTCCAGAGCGTCTCTTGAACTGAATTTCTGACTGAGGCCCTCACTCTTTATGCCCACCTGGCTCGGCCAGGTGTTGCAGGTGGCACCACTGTTCAGCCACCTACTGTACCTGGCTTTGCCGGTTTCAGGTTCAGAAACGGGGACCGACTGACTCACGGTTTATCCGATTAAAGGTTTAAAACGGTTAAGCATTCCTATTAGCAATTATTCAGGGTTCGAAGCATTTGAAACGCATGAATTTTTTTTACTTTGTCAAATGTTCGACCCTGTAGAACCTACATCTAAATCCAGATCACACGGATGAAGGAAGGTATTGATACACAACGCATTATTATTTTTCTCAAAACATTCATTTACAAAATAATATGTACAATAAGTTAGTAGTTGGATAAGAATCTTTTCTCGGCTTCGCTAGATTTGACGAATATCAAGAATGCCGGGGTTCCTCCACGCACAATGAATCTGAAATAAAAAAATTCCACTTCATCATTGAAATATTATTGAACTTTTATTCTTCTGACTGGATCTCCTGAATTTTTATTCCTGAACTTACCGTTCGTCCTGTAATATTTTTCCGAGAGAATGCCGGACGTTCACCTTATGTATGGAACATTTGTCTTTACCCTCGAAATAAATATTTATATTTTGAGGAGTGTAGCGTCGTTCCGTGTCCCATTCAGGTGGTTCACTAAACAGCTCCTCTAACTGTTCTATCAACCTGCAAATGGATTTATTAAATAAAATAATTTTTGTCAGTATTATAGAAAATGCTTTATATTAAAAAACATACAACGTATCCTCGTGAAAATTTTGTATAAAATCTGTCTGATGTGTTTCAGGATACAGAATCATTACAGGCCAGATGAGCTTATTTTGTTCATCCAGATGAACTCTACTCTGTGCTATCTGTGGTACTTGAGGCTCCAGATCCTTTAAGTCAGGATTTTTTCTCCCACCAATTAATTCCAAGTTGATACCTTTACTTTTTATGATATTTATCAGTTCCTCTTCTTCTTTGTCTAATTTCTTTTCCATCCTCTCTTGCTTCCTTTTATCTCTTTTCAATCGTTCCTATTTATATTAAAATGTTATATTAATTTTATATAAATATTTGCAGAACTTTCCACAAAATGTATCTTACTCTTGCAGCTTGTGCTTGTGATTTTAAACTCAATATCTCTTTGTTAGTTGGAAGTTGATCAAGCATTTGATCACAGAGATCGATACATTGATCATAATCCTTTATATGAAAACAACAAGTGGCAGCTCTATTCATAGCTTTCTCATAGTCTGGTTTCAATTTTAGAGCATGCTTGCAGTCATTAAGACTTGACCTGTAATTTATATTAAAAAAATATCAGAACCTTCTAAAGTTCTACTACATAGTTCAATACAATACAAGTACCGATAATTTTTTAACATAAAATGTGAAGCTGCTCTATTGTTATATAGCTGAGCCATTAAATTGGCATCTTTGCATTTAGTTCTTATGCCCTCTGTATAACTTAGAATAGCTAATCTATATTTTTTATATTTATAATTAAAGTTTCCATCCTCCTTATAATTATTTGCAAGTTCTAAAAAAAAATATAGTTCTAAAGTTATAGCTACATAAAGTTTATGTCGATGAACTTGAAACTGTTACATGTGCAATTGAAGAGAAATACAAATAATAACAAACTCAAACCTTCAGGTGTATTCTCATCTTCTCCATACTTAAGTTGTTGCAAGCCTTCCATTAATGGAGACAGTTTCTCTCCTGGCTCTGGAGCTTTTTTCGAAAAGAAAGGGTGTTTCTCCATTTCTTCTTCCCACCGATCCTCTGGCCATCCTTCAGTGTAACTCTTCTTTTCTAAATTACTAATATACTCGTCTAATTCGGCATCTAATTTTGAAGCAAGCGCCAGTCGTTCTTCGTCTGTCCATTTTTTATTACTTGTTTCTTCCATTGCAAAATAACTGTCCTGATACAAACTTGATCTTTAAATCGAATTAATTTCAGACAGAATGTTACAGACTGTTTGTTTTCACTCAACCTAACCTCTAAAACTACACGTAACAGAACGTCACTTATTGGTTATGTAATGTAGATAGAAATCGTTTCTATCGACAGAGTAAACTTCTTGTTTCGTCGTGGTGATGGCGCTATTTGTATTTTTGCAAACATTTCAAAAAATTAACAAATTTTATTTTTGTTAAAACACTTTCTATGATATCCACAAATTATATTACGAGAAAAATAAAATCATTAGCATACTATATTTAAAGAACAAATATTATTAAACGTTAAGAAACAAAAAGTTTATAAAAAAAATTTAATAATAATAAATATGTCAGAAATACTTGGTAAATATTTTCCCAAACCTAACAGTCTTTTAAAAAAGATTAAATTTTTTACTTATTTGTCACAATCTTTTGTATCCACGAATTATTTTATAAAAAAAAAAATAAAATTATTAACAAAATTAAATGTAGGAAAAAAAATTTAATTAGAAGTTTGAAAACGAGAAGCTAAAATAACAAATTTAATAATAAATGCACACGAAATGTTAAATATCGTAAAAAATATTAAAGTTTAGAAAATGTGCTGAAAAAATAATTCTAACATCTCGATCGTTTAACGATGTACGATTAGTAACGTTTCATAAATAAGCAGTTTTCTGTGAAGAAAGCGGAAAAATAATAAAGTGACAATTAAAAGAATGACGAGTAAAAATGTTGTGATTAGTCGGTGGGGTATTTGTAAAAAGAGGGGCGGATAATCGTAGAATAAAATCTGTATTGAAAATTAGGGATGAGAAAAGCTCGAGTAGATACGTCGATCGGGTAGGGGTGGTTAAAGTTCGGACATTTACGCAAACATTCGGGTTTTGGCCCCTTTGTGTTCGGGTAGGCAAGATGGCGCTCGGTGAAAGCTGGTATACGATTGGTCGATGAGACCGCACCGCGAATCTCCCGAGAACAGTCGCTTCCACGGCCTCGGAGCGGGCGAGTTGTTGGTCCCTTTGGAAAAAAGCAAAACACGCTCTCTCGAGTGTAATGGCCACCGTGGGCCTAGGATAGCAGCGGAGGCGGTTCGAATTGTTCGATCGAGACGCTGGCAATCGTTAAACGATTCACGAACCGGTCAACATCAGTGAATGATTGAATTCGCGTGTGCCGAACTGCCGCTCGATCGTGGCTTCTCTGTCCGGTGAAAAAAGAGTGCGTGTACATGAAGCAGTGCATCTAGTGTACTTAAATGTGGTGCCAGCCATTGTCGAGGGTGCATCGTAGTGCCGGTCATCTATTCTACACTGGATAATATTGCTTGTTCGTCTTGACTATCGGATTCTACCCTTCGAGCAGCAACGGTGAGTAGAAACGTGTATACACGAGTCAAACGAAACCGTATCGCGCGATGTCGACGACCGTGCTCGTCCAGTTAGGAAGCTTAACATTCGCGGATGCGTGTGTGTACAACACACTGTGGTCGTTTCGTTCTATCTCCTCCCCTCGCGATAGATAGTTGTCCATCGATGCTTTCGTTCACGACTAGACGCACCCTCTTCGTTTCTTATCGTACGTTGTCGGTTGTCATCGTTATCGTTCGGCGGTTTTCACCGTATAAAAATTTCTGCGCCGCTCTGAATCGCGTCAGTTCGCTCGTACATTACGCACATGCACGTTTAACCATTTCCATGGGGGAAAAGTCCATTTATTGTCATGTGCAAGTAGTAATGAGAGTATGCGCGTTGCGAAGCACGATCAATTTCGGAAGATCTACCACCACGCTGCAAAAGATGTCGCACCACCCTTCCGTGCTAGTTTATTGTTGCTAAAATGTTTTCGACCGTTCGAACGACACCGAAGGGTGTTTCCCTGTCTTTTTTTTTCTTTCTATCACGTAACCGTCCGCTGCTGGATTTAAACGTCCAGCCGCGCGAACCTGTTAAATGGTAAACGACAGTTTCTATGGAAACGTAAGCGTTCATTGATACGTTCGTGTATCTCGGTAGTCTCGTTAGACGCGTATTAAGGTCACCGTTGTTTTTTCCCAAGGACTCCGTGCACAAGTTTACAGACACTAGAGAATCGACACAGCGATATCGCCTCATTACCCGTTCGGTTTCAATGAACGTTGTTCTCCTCTGTGTACCGTTCTTGCTGTTGTTGTTGTTGTTGTTGTTGTTGATGATGACGATGTTGTTCTCTCGTTGATTACCATGGATGGGCGTATTCTTTCGCAAACAAGCACACTCCACGTAATCTCGTTTACTAAAGGGTATAAACGAGAATCGGTAACTGTGAATTACCTGTTTCGTCGCATCGATAACGATCGTTTAGGCTTGTTACGATTGTAACACATTTGTAACAGTAACAGGTGCTCCGATTATTTCTTACGGCTTACGATGTTACGTTTTATCATTTTCTTACCGGCATAAGTATACTACAATTAATACACAAGTTTCGAAGTGTATAATTGTATTCAGATTTGTCAGATTTCACATGCTCGTTTTATAGCTGGTTTCTTGAAGCTACTTCGTTTAATTAGTACTTTAATTTGTAAAAACGTGTAGAAGCGCAATAAACTAGTACATCTCTACCCACGATACGAAACGAATATACGTAAAATATATACCGTTCTAAACAGAGAGTAACGGTATCGTCGTATTCGCCGCGATCTGATTCCTTTTGCTTGGCTGCGTGTACGATGTACAGAGTGTCCCAATAATCGTGTTACACCGCAATACCTCTAATGTAATGCAGTAAAACATTACTATTATACATACATCACAAGCTGACAAATTTGAAAGTTATATACGGCACGAGTTACAGTTTCAGTACATATGATTGTTAACATGTTATAATCCCCGCCATCATATGAAGCTGTAAATTAAGTCGTTGTTAAGTGACGTCTAGTGAAATCGAAAGTCACAGGATTGTATGTAAAAGAGGTTCTCAAAGACTTGTGGGTCGGGACCCACTTTTAAGATGGTATATTTTTACGGAATGTAGTGGTGTCAATCACAATTGTAATAGTACAAAATTTCAGTGTTTCAAAATCGTAGTGTTTCAAAATTAGAACGTCTCAAAATTCATAGCGCTCTAAAATCCGAATGTTACAATTTTATAATATTGCATATCCACAGCGCTTCAAAATATGAATGTTAAACAATTGTAGCGTTCCAAACTCCTCAAATTCTCAGCGCTTCTAATCCACAGCACTTTTAAATTCGAATGTCCCAAATTTTCAACGCGTCATATTCACAGTGCTACAAAATCTGATTGTTCCAAAATTCAAACGTGTCAAATTCTTAGCGCTGAAAAGTCGGAACGTCACAAAATTCAAATGTCTCAAATCTCAGCGCTTCAAATCCACAGCGCTATAAAATTCGAACGCTCCGAATTCTCAGCGTTTCAAACGCACAGCGCTCTAAAATTCGAACGCCCCGAATTCTCAGCGCTGTAAAATTTGAACGTTCCCAATTCTCAGCGCTTCAAATCCACAGCGCTCTGAAATTCGAACGTCTCGAATTCTCCGCGCGTCAAATCTACAGCGCTCTAAAATTCGAACGTCTCGAATTCTCAGCGCTCTAAAATTCGAACGCCCCGAATTCTCAGCGCTCTAAAATTTGAACGTTCCCAATTCTCAGCGCTTCAAATCCACAGCGCTCTGAAATTCGAACGTCTCGAATTCTCCGCGCGTCAAATCTACAGCGCTCTAAAATTCGAACGTCTCGAATTCTCAGCGCTCTAAAATTCGAACGCCCCGAATTCTCAGCGCTCTAAAATTTGAACGTGCCCAATTCTCGGCGCGTCTAATCCACAGCGCTCTAAAATTCGAACGCTCCGAATTCTCAGCGCTTCACACCCACAGCGCTCTAAAATTCGAACGTCCCGAATTCTCAGCGCTCTAAAATTTGAACGTTCCCAATTCTCAGCGCTTCAAATCCACAGCGCTCTGAAATTCGAACGTCTCAAATTCTCCGCGCGTCAAATCCACAGCGCTCTAAAATTCGAACGTCCTGAATTTTCAACGCTTCAAATACACAACGCTAAAAAATTTGAACGTTACAAAATTCAAACGTCTCACATTCTGAGAGCTTCAAATTCACAGCGCTTCAAAACTTTGGCATCTCGAAATTCGAACGTCAAAAATTCGTAAACCCGAAATTCACAGCGCTTCAAAATTCTAGCGTTTAAAAATGTGAATCCACCAATGTCTCCGCGTCCCAAAGACCCAAAATAGCAATATAATTTTCCGAAGCAGTAATTTAGCTTCAGAAAATGACACACGAGAAAAGCTACTATATTGTTTATTTTCGATCGATATATTTTGTCAAGATGAATCGATAGCACGTTTACCGGGACACTCCGTATATACGTTTGAGCGTAATATGCAGTCGCCGTAACGCGGGCTGGAAATGGAGAACGTGTGTTTGCACGTGTTGTTGACAAAACTCGGTATTATACATATCTCGTTGAATAAATGGTGAATTTTGGATCAGGACCGACTATTGATTTTGCTTCGCAACGAACGAAAACAAATTTTTATCGCGAATAGGTTTAATTAAATTCTCCAACGTTTTAATTTTCCTTTGAAAGATTGCAGGCACCTGTATCGAACCGATTGTCAGTTTAATACACTTTCGGGCAGAAAATAAAAAAAAAAAAAAACCGGAGCACAATGTATCTATTATTCATACGAAACGGATATATCTTTTTCCCAGAGGGTGCAAATTTTGAAATTTCGCGAGTCAAAGTATTACGGCGAATATCGTATAAATTCGGAATACGATAACTATGAAAAAGGTGCAATTAACGATCGATAAAACGTTGTCGAAATCGTTGTAGCGAATTTATCGCAGGAAGCATTTTTATATTTAACGCGTGCATTATTGAAAGCACGCGCTCGACGTATTGACGAGCTTTTCATGAATGTCAAGAGTGAGCACACGTGTGTGTACACATAGGACGCAAGAATGAACTTCAACGTTCGATCATCGCGTCCTCGAGGGTTTTCTTTCTCGTACATTCAAGCACGGATCCATTTTTTACGAGAGATATTTATAGTACATTCAATATTTTACGATCTATTTTCAGATAGTCTTCCCACGAGAGACTGTTTATAAACTCCGTTATCCAAAGTTTAAAAGGTTAACCGTGACTTACTTTTATAGGACAAAGTTGACGTGTCCGTGTTAGTTCTGCTTTTAATTTACTCTCCTAGTAAAACTAGGTAAATGGTTGAAGGTTGCATGGAATTACTT